ACGTCAATGCTTGAGAATTGTTCTAGGAAGTCTCCAGGAGCTAAGAAACCACTCATCATTATTGGATTTTGTCACATATGATAGAGCCATAGCTCTAAATCTGATTTTCTTCTTTATATAATCTAGTTCCTACATCTGGCCATCAACCAAGTGTGGTAAGTGTTTTTCCCTATATATTCTTGGTTGATCTACTTTATTTACTCACTGGTGCTTATTTTCTTCTCATATTTATCATGTTTATTGGTTGGTCTGGGCTTGGACCGAGGCTATAGACAGTAGCAAACCACAAAGCTGTTGCAAAAATGAATCATAGCAGCAAAGCTGCTACAGAGGTGAAAGAACACAACAATGAGCATGGCTGGAGCCACAGTCAACATAACAGCAGGGCAACAACAAATTAATTCATAGCATCCACAAGGCCATGTTTTTTAACTCACCAAAGTTACATTAGCCACCTATGATCAATAGTCTTCATCGGAAAAAAAGAAAAAGAAAAAGAAAAAAGGCAACACCTAAATAAATGGGAAAAGCCAAACTATCCAAAATAATGAAAACTAAATGCAATTTGGCCTTACTAAATGCGTTTGATACTTGTGAAGGCATTATTCCAACTCACCAAATCAAGTGACAATACACCATGAGCACATAATAGCATTCCTCAATATCAAGTTGCCATTGTCCACCTAGAATTGTTTCCCATGTAATAGCTACGATATAGGACGCATTCAAATGATTCAAGCCCTGACAACAACGTTAAACAAAACAACGTTTTTTGCTTAAGGTTTAATTAAAACCTAGTGTTAATGTGTTAATGTGTTATATTTCATGCTTGTATGTATTAATGTGTTATATTTCATCCCATATACTTGCCTCACATTCATGTATATTATTTGATTCAATTCTAGCTATAGCAACTAGGACAATTACCTTCATATCACAAAAAACCATAACATTGGAATGGTGAGAACGCATTAGACCACCTTAAGAAACTCAAATAAGAAGTAGATGAATTAATCTAATCAATATTACAAGAATCATACAACATACAATACAGATGGGAATTCTAGTTTCTATTTCTCTCATGACTATGGAACAAAAATACAAAAAGATACTTATATATGTGCCTGCAGATGTAATCCTATTTTGTAAAACCTTTAAACACCCAACACTCACTTATGAACAGCCAGTTAACATCCACTATTACACTTTCTACAGTGAAGCACCCATTAGAACTATCAAAGAGAACACCTATACCCCCCGTGTATCATGTTATCAAATTCCACCAACACAACTTGTATGACACCAATAAATATTAATAAAAACCCAACCAAACACCATACTACAACACTCACGCCAATCCCCAATCAATACAAATATGAGCATGGATTAAAATAAATCAAGTATTGATACTTGTGAAGGCATTGTTCCAACTCACCAAATCAAGTGACAATACACCGTGAGCACATAACAGCATTCCTCAATATCAAGTTGCCATTGTCCACCTAGAATTATTTCCCATGTAATAGCTACGATGTAGGACGCATTCAAATGATTTAAGCCCTGACAACAATGTTAAACAAAACAACGTTTTTTGCTTAAGGTTTAATTAAAACCTAGTGTTAATGTGTTAATGTGTTATATTTCATGCTTGTATGTATTAATGTGTTATATTTCATCCCATATACTTGCCTCACATTCATGTATATTATTTGATTC